AAATGCAGCATTTTCCAGTATAAGTTTTGAACAAATAAACATTATGCTAAAATCCAGGAAATGTTTGAGGTGTGCAAACCTCTTCATGAATGAGATCCCACAGTTACTCAGCTTAGTCACGTGCACATCCTGATGATTCTGTTTTTATATTCAACCAGCTGTAACCTTGATATCCTTCTATAACTGAGGATGTGTCTTCACTGCACATTTAACATGGGCTTTTACTTGCATTTTAGCCCAACCTCCTCCTACCATCCACACACGAAATCTCCCACCTGGGTTTGGAGGTGCTTTAAGCCTGGGTTAGCTGAACCAGCTGGGGATGTGGGTTAGAGGCCAGGTTCCACTTTTACCCAGGCTCGGGCATGACTAGTTTACAGTGAGGACATAGGCAAATTCAATTGTATGCTGCAGTGCCCTTCCCACCATTCCCTCTGAAGGACAGACAAGTTCTACTGTAATTGACACAGTTGACAGGAAGAGAATCCTGGAGCAGCTCAGTGCAAAGTGCCCTGTGATATGCCCCCAGACAAGTGCTGGTGAGAGCAGTAACAGAGAAGGCGCAATAATGTGGAGGGAGCTTTCCTGTGGGGATGCTCACACCTAGGTTAGGCTAACTTGAGTGTTCAGACCCAGGTGCCCATCACCCCGGTTAACTGCAGCAAAGACATAGCTGCCAAAGTATCTGTATGGTTTGCGACGTTTTTCCTTCTAGCTCCTTAAACAAAACAAGATTCTACACTGAGAGTTCTAAAGACCACAAAACCTGGATACTTTGCAACTTGATTCCTTATTAGAAAATAACTGCTGGGCTTGATTGTGCCCTGGAGACAGCAGGTGAAATTTAGTTGATTTCAACTGAGTAACACCCACGCAGAGCAGTGCTGCTTGGCCCACTGTGCATATTAATAAATGTTATACAATAACCACCTGAAACTATCTCACAGGAACTTCCCTATAGCCCTTTCTTGCTGTGAGAATGGATTCTTTAGTTATTTTAGCCAAAGAGACTGCATTCCAAAGGCAGATGGTAATCACATGTTCAGATTTAAGCAGACTGAAGACATGAGAGGGAGAGAACAAATTGGTGGAGCTTAAAAATACCTTTTTGGAGTCCAAAATCCCCAGTTTTATATCCTGTGAAGCTGTGTGCATGCACAATAAGACCTACAGCTTCTTGGACATGGAATCAGTGAAACAGCTTTCATCAGACCTTACATCTGCTGGTGCCCCAGGATATTCAAACAGTAACTAATGCCAGAAAGCCAGATATGTGTCTAAATATGGGCAGATTGTGTTTTATTTGGTTGGGTTGTTTTGCTGAAATTCTCTGAAGTGTACAAATAAACAGTTTGATTATACTCTAGCTAAATAAAGGAAAAATTACTGTAAACAAACGTATGAGACTCTTTGCTTCCCGGACTTTGTCTGCCCTGCAGCAAGGTGCCATGTATGTGTGGAGCATAGCATTTTGGATCATTATAATTGCTCTTCCTGGCATAAGTGAGACATCTGTTCCTCCCCAAATACTGGATGGACAAAAATATCCCAGGCGGTAAATGTATAACCATTAGATATTATGTAGCTTCTGGTTGTGTTTTCAGTTCTTAGTTGTTTCTCCCTGGCTCAAGTGAAACAGACTTGGACTTGTAGATTTAGGACTAAGGCAAGCTAAAAAATGAAATCACTTGTTTCAAATACATCTTCCACAAAAGGGCTCATCATTTTCCATTATGCCCTGAAAGCTCCATAGGCATATGCTCCCTCTCAGTGGTATGGTGCAGCAAAGAGACAGCATGTGGAGGTTGCAAAGAAGGAAAAGGCATCTACTCAGTAGCAGCCCTCGCATTGTGTGTGTGTGTGTGTGTGTACGCACGCCAGGCAGGAAGAAATTCAGCACCATGTATTTGGGAGCCTGAGCTGGGAGTCTGGAGAACAGACCTTCGAAGTGGCAAGACAAGTAATGTGGGCAGCAACTCTATAAGGGCCCTATCAAGGTTTCAAGCCTATCTCCCTTCCTGAGTAGGTTTTTTCCTCTCATACCTATATTAGACTTTTGTCTAAAGAGGAGAAAATATATTTAGTAGGTGTGATGAATGTGGGGATGCTCGGTGGAGAATATGGATTTCTACCCCATAATGTGGTTTATGTATAAGATTTCTGAGGTGGTGGGTGGGAATGTCAGGGAAGCAGACAGTTTCAGCATACTCCCCCCATAGTCACAAGGCCTGTGATTGCAAGCCATTAAGGCTGACTGGGTCTAATTGCCAAACAATGGAATATGTCTTAGAGCAGGGGTTCTCAACCTTTTTCTTTCTGAAGCCCGCCCCCCAACATGATATAAAAACTCCATGGCCCACCTGTGCCACAACAACTCTTTTTCTGCATATAAAAGCCAGGGCCAGCTGTGCCGATGCGGTTCTGGCAGAACCCAACTGAGAATGCCAACTCAGGACAAAATTGCTCAAACAGGGCAGTTACAGCCCAAGGCTGGGGTTTTTCCACCTCTAAGGCAAACCAAACCAGCCAGACTAAGAGGACTTCGGTCTCACCCCACTGGCTAACTGCGAGTCTCACAAGCAATTTCCTTAGACACTCCGGTTTCCCAGTATCACCAGCAGTACCACTCGTTATGGGGACAAATGGTTATGAAAACCAATACCCAAATAAAAGAAAAAAGGTTCTCCTGATCCCAAAGGACCAAGCCCCAGACCCAGGTCAATATACAAATCAGATCTTACCCACAAATCACGCTGTTGCCAATCCTTTAGAATCTAAAATCTAAAGGTTTATTGATAAAAGGAAAAAGATAGAGATGAGAGTTAGAATTGGTTAAATGGAATCAATTACATACAGTAATGGCAAAATTCTTGGTTCAGGCTTGTAGCAGTGATGGAATAAACTGCAGGTTCAAATCAAGTCTCTGGAGTACATCCCCAGCTGGGATGGGTCCTCAGTCCTTTGTTCAGAGCTTCAGCTTGTAGCAAAGTCCCTCCAGAGGTAAGAAGCAGGATTGAAGCCAAAATGGAGATGAGGCATTAGCCTTATATAGTCTTTTCCAGGTGTAAGAACACCTCTTTGTCCTTACTGTGGAAAATTACAGCAAAATGGAGCCTGGAGTCACATGGGCCAATCCCTGCATACTTTGCTGAGTCTGAAGGCATATTTGCCTTCTCTCAATGGGTCCATTGTATAGCTGATGGTCCTTAATGGGCCATCAAGCAGACTAGGCAGAGCTAATCTCAGCTTGTCTGGGATGTCACCCAGAGGCATAGCATAAGTTTGCCATACAGACAGTATAGAGCCAATATTCATAACTTCAACTACAAAACTGATACACACATATAGACAGCATAATCATAACCAGTAAACCATAACCTTGTCTAGGACACCCCGTTTAACCCCCTTTATACAAGATTTGGGTGCCATTACAGGACCTTGGTTGCGATAATGATCTATATGGTCCCAGTTTATGTCAATAACGTCAAACCAGCATTAGGGGGCAGCAAGCAGGGCAACTGCCTGCGGGCTCCACAGCACAGGGGGCCCCGCAAAGCTAAATTGCTCAGGCTTCGGCTTCAGCTTCGGCTTCAGCCCTGGGCTCCAGTGAGTGTAATGCCATCCCTGCACTCTGGTTTATTTTGGCGGACCCCCTGAAACCTGCTTGGGGATCACCAGGGGGCCGCGGACCTGTAATTGAGAACCACTCTCTTAGATAGTCTGGTCTGGCTGTCTGACTTGGGTGTGTCTGTGAAAAGTCTGAGGCAAAAGGGAGACTTCACACCTTGGCCTTGTGCAGGGCGGGGTAGAAAGGCCACTAAGCAATATGGTAATTAGGCTCAGGCTCGCACACCAGCAGGGTGGGGCTTTGGGGAAAAGAGAAGCGGGAGCAGTCTGGGGGCAGAGACCACTTTTTGTAGAAGGAAAACAGACGAGTTTTTAGTTAGTCTCTAAGGTGCCACAAGTACTCCTGTTCTTTTTCCTAGAGATGAGGCTGGGTCCCAAGAGCTCCTGGGCTTCCTAAAATAATGTAATTTGGGTCTGTTCTTTCCCAGTGACTCAAGAGGGAAGCCTATCTAACTTAGCTAGCAGTAAAGTGTAAGACTAAATATGCATGTTGGCTGTTTTGAAATTATTTTCTCTAATGCTTTGTTCCATTTGCTAATAAATGTATTTGTCCCAGGCTCCCAGAAGTGGAAGAGACAGGTGTCCAGTTGGACCTGCCCAGTTATAGGTGGTGGACATAGTTGGGTGTTGTTTCCTGATCCCAGTATAAAAGAATTGCAAAAGCACCCAACACCTCAGCGATGCAGAGGCCAGAAAGGGAGCAGAGATGTAATCTGCCTGGTAACCATTTTTTTAATATAACTTTTTTTTTTCCTGACTACTAAAACAACAAGGAGTCTGGTGGCACCCTAAAGACTAACAGATTTATTTGGGTATAAGCTTTCGTGGGTAAAAAATCCATTTCTTCAGATGCATTGAGTGAAAATTACAGATGCAGGCATTATTATACATGAAGAAAAGGGAGTTACCTTCAAGTGGAGAACCAGTGTTGAGAGGGCCAATTCAATCAGGTTGGATGTAGTCCACTCCCAATAATGGATGAGGAGGTGTCAATACCAAGAGAGGAAAAGTTGCTTTTGTAGTGAGCCAGCCACTCCCAGTCCCTATTCAAGCCCAAATTAATTCACAAATGAATTTTAGTTCTGCAGTTTCTCTTTGAAGTCTGTTTTTGAAGGTTTTTGTTGTTGAAGAATGGCTACTTTTAAATCTGTTATAGAATGTCCAGGGAGATTGAAGTGTTCTCCTTGTGTATGTTACTGGCTTGTGTATGTTACCATTCCTGATGTCCGATTTGTGTCCATTTATTCTTTTAAATAGAGACTGTCCAGTTTGACCAATGTACATGGCAGAGGGGCATTGCTGGCACACAATGGCATATATCACATTAGTAGATGTGCAGATGAATGAGTCCCTGATGGTGTGGCTCATGTGGTTGGGTCCTCGGATGGTATCATTAAAGTAGATACGGGGACAGAGTAGGCAACGAGGTTTGCTACAGGGATTGGTTCCTGGGGTGGTGTGGTGTGTAGTTGCTGGTGAGTATTTGCTTCAGGTTGGGGGCCTGCCTCCCTTCCTGACTACTGTTTCTCGTTATTTCAAGTATTACTGGGCTGGAAAGGGCTAATGGCTGGGAGTGGTATGTGAAATGGGAGTTGTCAAGGCAGTCAGGAAAATTCAGGAGGGGAGGGAAAAAAAGCTCATGGATTTTATATCATTTCCATAATTTTTCTGTTGTTTTCTTAAACTGAATTAAATCCTGCTGCTGCCAACACTTGTGCACATACTTAACTCTAAACACAAGAGTAGTCCCATTAACTACAAAAGGACTATTCATGCACTTAAAGTTAACGTGTATAAATACTGAAATACTGGTAGAATTCGGGCTCTGGGCATGAGAGACCAATGAGCCAGCACTCAGAATTATCTGCTCTATGCCTCACTCTTTGGGTTGGTCTCCTTCTCGCTCTCAGTGCTGCTGGGTCGGAGAATAGCATGAAATTAGCTGATTGCATGACAATCCTCTGTTAATGCTTTTGAAAGCCAAAAAATGTTTTAAATTATCGTTAGAAAGTCATTGAAATACAATGAAAGGGAAATTCAGTATTTCTACCCTTATTGTCTGTCTCTTTGGGTCTCTGCATCCCACATAGGCATTGATCTCCTTGTTGCCTGGAAAAAAAAAAAGATGAGAGGAAAACACATCTAGAAATGTTTTTATCTATCTTTTTATAGCTCATTTCTCACTCCACCTCCAGACACTAATACTTCTCAGCTAATTAATTAAAAACCATTAAGGCATAATAGAAAACAGCTGCAAAAGCATTTTGTTTTGTTTTTTAATTATTTTCTTATCTTCTCTATACAAAACCTTCCCAAATCTAAATAAAAACCCTTTTTAGACCAGCAAAAGAAAAAAAATTCACAAATCCAAAAAGGATGATATTAAAAATATTTTCCAGAACATCTTAATCTTGCGTCATTCCTCTATCTCCCTGACTCAGTCCTTCTCATTTGTTACTACACAGAAATTAACTCTTTATAAACCAGCAAACTTTCTGTTAAAGATCAGTAAATTCCCTCTCTAAAGATCAGTATCAAGTGACACACACATTTAAGAAAATAGTGAGGTCATTCATATTTATTCTCTTAATGCTTTTGCAAATAACCATTTTATAAAAGCAATAACATACTTAAGGGTGTGCAAATGTTTTCTTCAATGCCACTAAGCATTTAGTTGAAATATGATTTTTATAGAAAAATATATATATATATATTTTTAGTTCTGTTCAGATATACATTGTGGCAGATAAAGAATCAGGCAACATGCTTATAATAACTTCTTACCCTGGGACAATAAAATAAAGTTTGTCCTAATAGACCATTTGTTATCCTGTGTTTATGACAGGTGGGAATTGTATGGCACAACAAATATATCTTTAAAAAAAAATTCATGAGTGTAATAAAATACCAAAAAAGTTCTCTGGTATTTATATCAAAGCAACATTTTTAGTATGCTTATATTTTTCGTTCGGCTCTTGCCTCCCCCAGACTCCTTTGTCTCCCCATAGTTATCTAAAATTAATAGAAAGTTCTGAGACCTGTTAAAAAAATGATATAGTGAGGTAGACAAGAGCAATACATTTTCAAACCTGTAGAAAGAACTCTGAAAACTGATCTCTGCTCAGAGAAGAGCAAATACCTTGATTTACAAATAGCTAAAAGTATGAATTTTTTTCAAAGATATTTTAATTAAAAGGACAACTTTAAAAATATTATTTGTCTTTTCTGTTTACAACTGATTAATTCTGATTTCATGGTGTTGCACCATAGTGCAGAGCATATGAGCACATAATTTGAATCTGATTTAAAAGTCTCTGCTGCTTGTCATTCTGTGGTGGTGAGCTTCTCTTAAGTTGTTGGAGTAAAGGAGGTTACAGGACAGTACTATTCCCTCTTCTCTAGTAAGAGAAGAGAGAGCTTATCTTCTTCTTTCATTTGTCTTGGGAGTGGACTGATCCCATAGGGCTCACCTTTGTTGGGGGAGTGAAAGCTCATCAGCTAAAAGCATCTGATATGGGGAGCAGCCAGAGAAACTGGCGCCTGGCTTTAGGAATTCCAGGTGTTCCCTTCCCAGCCATCCTACCAGTAGATGGAGCAGCAACAGCACTGGAGGAAAGAATGGTTTCTAGCTGAGAATCCTTATCCACTTCTCCTTCTAAAGCTCTGTTCCCCAACTGGCTCCTATCCCCACCAATGGGGGTGGGGAGGAGACACTGACACCAGCTTCCTCTCCCAAAGATGCATGTAATGATTTTTGTATGAATACTCTCCTCGATAGGGTCTTGTGAATATTGTATCAGGTATTCAAATGCTTTCTGAGGAAAGATCCCTGAACCCTCCAGTTTCACTGTTTTATAGCAATGCAAATTTTTCTCTAGTTAGATCTAAATGATGAAAACTAGAGGTGGTCACAATTTCTTCAAGTGTTTTCAATCAAAACAAAACAAAAAAGGCCTTCCTGTCCCCTCCTAAACTACTTTTTTGCAAAAAAGTAATTTCTATCTAAATGTTCTAGTTTTGTGATGGAAAAACTGAAAACTTGCTTCTAAAAACCAAAAAAACCCGTGATGGAAACTCAAAATTTTTCAGTTGCTGACATTTCACAAAAGAACATTACCAGACACTTTCTGTCTAGCTCTAATGATAACATCTGTAGAAAATGCAATGGGTATAATAGAAGTATGACACAAGAGTGTCTGTGATTCCAGTCCTCAGTCACATGATATGGATCAGGGTTAGAAAGGTTATACTTCTATCACACAGCAAGGGTTACTAACCACTGGTTGGGGCAGATCGTACAATGCTGAGAGCCAGAGTGGAGCTCGACAGCAGTCCACATTGACTTATTGTGGGGACTGTTTTGAGGTTCAGGGGTTTGGTTCAGGCTCATCTTTAAGAAGGACTAACCCACTTCTCACACCCAATCTTTTAAACTTTGCAGTTTAGAAAAAGTTGGGGAAATTATTATAATAGAACATCTGCAGGCTTTGCCAAAACCAGATACAGAAATATTAAAACATTGAGATTGGATTGGAAACCTGTGTCGACACAGCCTGTCGCTAAAAGTCAGCATGTGTAAGAGGAGCTGAATTAAGGTTGCAGTACTTTGTTGGCACTCTCCTGACGACAAAGCCGCGTTCACACTGCCACTTGCATTGGCAACATTTTTGTCTCTCGCAGGGGGCTTTTTTAAGCCTCAAAGTATGGACAACTGTCCAAACTGAATTTCTACAACTTTATACAGATTTGTTCATGACTGCTAGGTAAAGCTTGAAAATATGCCTTTGGCACATGTAAATTATTCTGGCCATTTGCAAGGCGTAACTTGTACTGCTAATTGATTGATTGCTTTGTCAGTGAGCAAATTTCACCTATCTGTCAATTCCCACCTCTTTTTTTTTTTCTATAGACAAAGCCCAATTTCTGCTCAGATCGTCTCCGTGGGCCTCGACTTGAATTGTTTTCACAATGGGCCATTAAAATACCTTTTTGTTTAAATGAGTGACATCATTTAAGTTCACGCCTGTAAATTACATTGAGAAACGCAATACATGGCTTCAGGGTTCCTTCCCCACTCTAAACTCTCTGGGGTACAGATGTGGGGACCCGCATGAAAGATCCCCTAAGTTTATATTCCACCAGCTTAGGTTAAAAACTTCCCCAAGGCACAAATTCCTTTCCTTGTCCTTGGATGGTATAGCTGCCACCACCACGTGATTTAAACAAACATTCAGGAGGGGCCATTTGGAGCCCTATTCCCCCGAAAATATCCCCCCAAGCCCTTTCACCCCCTTTCCTGGGGAGGCTTGAGAATAATATACCACCCAATAGGTTAACAAAGTGATCACAGACCAAATCCCTGGTTTTTAGGACACTGACAATCAATCAGGTTCTTAAAAGAAAAAAAATTATTAAAAAAAGAGTAAAAGAATCACACCTGCAAAATCAAGATGGAAGATAACTTTACAGGGTAAATTAAAAAGATTTAAAACACAGAGGATTCCCCTCTGACTCTGCTTCCCAGTTACAAAACAGGAATAAAATTACCTCTTAGCATAGGGAAAATTCACAAGCTAAAACAAAAGATAATCTAACACATTTCCTTGCTATTACTTACAATTTCTGTAATTTTAGATGTATCAGTTCAGGATCTTTTTAGGGGCTGGGTTACCTGCTTGGTCTCTCTCTTTGTCCCAAGAGGGAACCAAACAAAAAGCACAAACAAAACCTCCCCCTGCCCCAATTTGAAAGTATCTTCTTTCCCCATTGGTCCTTCTGGTCAGGTGCCAACTAGGTTAATTGAAATTAACCCCTTACATGTAAGTGATTCTGTACCTCTGGCCAGGAGGGATTTGATGTTACTGCATACATAAAGGTTGTTACCCTTCCCTTTACATTTATGACACATGGTATATTCAATACAATAAAATTTGTATTGGGAGAAATTGTTACCGTTTTTAAAAAAAACCCTATCAGGAAAGGAGCTAAATTCTTAAGGGAAGATTCGTAAAAGTCCAGAAAATGCCAATCTGGGTCTCAAGAGTTTACTCCTTTCCACTAACGTAATAGTTTGTTCATCCACCTCAAACGATATGCCAGGCAATTTAATCTTTTTTCCTGGGAATAAGAAACCTTGATTTGGTTTTATATTTAAATGGTAATGAATCAGAGTCTATTCTATTCATTCTGAGTACAATTACAGTACAAAGGGTTCAGCAGAAACTGAAAATCTAAACAAGATCAGTAAAGTTGCCTTCTTTTTTACTCATCCTGCCTTCACTGGCAAGGCAACAGTTGTATCTGGTTTAGTTTGGGCATCTCTTCCATATTTGCTGTGACATTTCTCTTTGCCTATTTCCTCATAAAGCCAATCAAATTATTGGACTGCATTCACAGATGATGTTTAAAGTGGTATAAGTGATGTGGGTTGTGTGTGTGACTTACATGCTAAGGGGCCAAAAGAGAGATGGCTGGTGGTGGGGAACAGCAAGTAACAGGAAGGTATAAGAAGTCGTAAATTGTGGTGGTGTTCTATCCTGCCCCACAGGGCCAGATTCAGTGTTTGCTCCAGGCAGTGCTCCATAAAGGTTATTGCAACAGAGGATACTAGTTCCAGAGCTACCATACCTGCACTGGGGGGCTGCACCATGTCCTGGAACGCCTGAATAAGGAAAGTGTAAACTGCCTCCCATCTATTCTTGGAATATAGAACAGGGGTAGGCAACCTTTCAGAAGTGGTGTGCCGAGTCTTCATTTATTCACTTTAATTTAAGGTTTCGCGTGCCGGTAATACATGTTAACGTTTTTTAGAAGGTCTCTCTCTATAAGTCTATATAATATAACTAAACTATTGTTGTATGTAAAGTAAACAAGGTTTTCAAAATGTTTAAGAAGCTTCCTTTAAAATTAAATTAAAATGCTGATCTTACGCCGCCAGCCTGCTCAGCCCGCTTCCAGCCTGGGGTTCTGTTCACCTAGGCCTGCAGTGGGCTGAGCAGGGCGACTCGAGGTCAAGGCAGAGGGCTGGGGGGGGTGTGGAGGTGCAGGGCAGAAGGCTGGGTGTTGTGGGGAGGTCGGGGTAGAAGGCTGGGAGGGGTGTGGGGATGCAGGGCAGAAGGCTGGGTGTTGGGGGGAGGTCGGGGTAGAAGGCTGGGAGGGGTGTGGGGATGCAGGGCAGAAGGCTGGGTGTTGGGGGGAGGTCGGGGTAGAAGGCTGGGAG